ATATATTTGTAAATTATATATCACACTTGTAAAGAAATGATCGATTCTATTTGAAAATCTACTATATTGAGAATTTTATTAGTAAATTCACTATATCAGAAAATTTTATATAAATTGGTTTGAGTCTGATTTACAATAACTATTCTTCACTATATAGTTCACCATTACAAGGGTGACTTGCATATATATATTTTTTTGTAGATATTCATTTAAAAAAAAAAATTACAATAGATTTATTTACTGAATTCAACAGATCTTATTAGATAGTTTATGATTGGGTGTAAAAATCCAGCAGATTGGGCTAAAAAATAGTCAGATATCCACGGATCCAAATACTAGTGAGGTAAAACACAAACACAATGTGCTATTTTTTATTATTTTGAACATTTTCACTTTCTATATCGAGTTATTTATTTATTTATTTGCTAGCATTTAGTAATAACATTTAAACAAAGAAGTATGTACTATGGGTTTATTAATCAAATTTGTTTGGCTGTTCTTAATACATAATGTATTATCAAACCTATTATAAAAAAGTGTATCTTTCATTTAGAAGAATTTTAAATTCTTTTATTATGTCTAATGCTAATGCTACTAAAAAACATTATCTCAAAGATCGCACTAATTCTGAAAACATTGTTCTATTGAAAAATATTCATGACTCAACACCTTCAAAGAGTTGGCCTTTCCAATATGCATTTAATGATTTTTTAAGCAAATACAATTCCTGCCTTGTTACTGTTTGTGACTTTCTTGTTTAGAGAATTTACAATAGCATTTGCTTGCCTGTGGACTCTTATTTGAAGAAGACATCTTGGTTTTACAATAGTTTACATGTTCTTCAAAGAATAAATACCTGGTCAATAAAAGAGATAAATGCAAACAAAAAAGTATTAAATATTATTTATTTGTTTTTCTATTTTATTAATGATTAAATAGAAGGTATTTTTGGGAAGACGCTTTCGAAAATAGCGAAAACGGAATATGTCAGACAACGATCTCTATTTAGATTGGCCTATGGATGATTTAGTGATCTGGTGCCTGGAGCACCGGTGAAAGAGATTTCGGGTAGCTGTAATCTGTGGGCTGTGCATAGCACGGGTCACAGGACTGGAGATTAAAGCCCATTTGGGAAGTCCTGAGTTTGGAGGTAGCAGTGATCTTCGACAGTACTACATGAAGGCTGAATTTGAACCGGGCCCAAAATTGGAGAACCGAGCGACCAGGTCCTTTAGTGGAGGGACACACTAGCCAAACCGCCAGTTTAGATGCATCAGAGGAAAAG